AGGTATATTTTAAAAAGACCCACACAGAACATCTAGAGTTGGAAATAAATTTTAAAGTACAATGATGGCATTAACAGTAGTTTGGCACTGCACATCAGTGAACTTCAGGATAGCAATAGAAACTGTCCAAAATTAGAACAGAAAGAAAAATAGAAAAATTGATAGAGAATCAATGACTATAATAAGGACAATTGTTAGAAACAGCCTGACATACATGTAATTGGAGCTCCAGAAAAGAGGGAAAGGGGAGAACAGAAAAAAAGATTGTAAAAAATAATGACCAGAAAATTTCCAAATTTGATGAAAACTATAAGCCCACATATTTAAGAATCCCAAGGAGAATAACTATAAAGGTAACCACATCCAAGGCATATCATCAAATTGTTGGCAACCAATAATAAAGAGAAAATCTTGAAAGCAGGCAGAGAAAAAAATACACATCATGTATAGAGTAACAGAGGTAAGAATGACAGCAGACTTCTCATCAGGAACTTAGCAAATCAAAATACAGTGGAGAGACTTTTTTTTTTTTTTTTTTTGTCTGAGACAGAGTCATTCTTGCCCAGGCTGGAGTGCAGTGGTGTGATCTCAGCTCACCGCAACTCCACCTCCTAGGTTCAAGCAATTCTCCTGCCTCAGCCTTCTGAGTAGGTGAGATTACAGGTGCATGCCACCACACCTGGCTAATATTTTTGTATTTTTAGTAGAGAAGGGGTTTCACTATGTTGGCTAGGCTGGTTTCAAAACTCCTGACCTCATGGTCTGCCTGCCTCAGGCTCCCAAAGTGCTGGGATTACAGGTGTGAGCCACTGCACCTGGCCTGGAGAGACATCTTTAAAGTACTTTTTAAAAAATCCTACTGGGGCTGTGTGCAGTGGCCAACACCTGAAATCTCAGCAGTATGGTAGGCTGAGGCAGGAGGGTTGCTTGAGCCCAGGAGTTCTAGAACAGCCTGGGTGACATGGCGAAACCCCATCTCTACCAAAAAAAAAAAAAAAAGCCAGGTATGGTGATGTGCGCCTGTGGTCCCAGCTCCTTGGGAGACTGAGGTGAGAGTGTCACTTTAGCTGGGGAAGCAGAGGCTGCAGTGAGCTGTATTTGAGCCATACTGCACTTTAGCCTGGCTGACAAAGTGAGACCCTATCTCCCAAAAAAAAAAAAAAAAAAAAAAAAAAGTTCTACTGGAACTTGTTGCTGGCAGACCTCTACAAGAAATGTTGAAGTTGTTCAGGCAGAAGGGAAATGATTTTAAATGGAAATTTAGATCTTCACAAAGGATTGAGAAGTGCTAGAAATGGTAACTTTGGGAGTAAAAAATAAGACAATTTTTTTTCTTTTTAAATCTCTTTAAAGATTGTTGTATTGAAGGTGATTGCTAACAGGTACAGGATTTCCCTTTTTGCGTGATGGAAATGTTCTACAATTAATGGTGATGGCTGCACAACATTGTGAATTAAAGAAATAGTAGCATTCAAAAGATAGTTGTTTAAAGCAAAAATAATAAGTTATAACTTTTATGACACGCTGGAGTAAAAGGTATGACAGTAGCACAAAGAATGGAAGGGAATGGGAAGGGTATAAGAAACCTTACTAAGGTCTTATTTATTTGACAGAGTATCACTTTGTTGCCCAGGTTCTATTTATTTATTTGACAGAGTATCGCTTTGTTGCCCAGGCTGGAGTGTGGTGGCACAACCCCTGCTCACTGCAACCTCTGCCTCTGTTCAACAATTCTGCCTCAGCCTCCCAAGTAGCTAGGATTTCAGGTATGCGCCACCACACCCAGCTAATTTTTGTATTTTTAGTAGAGATGAAGTTTCACCATGTTAGCCAGGCTGGTCTTGAACTCCTGACCTCAGGTGATCTACCTGACCTCAAACAATTCTCCTTCCTCAGCCTCCCAAAGTGCTGGGATTGCAGGTGTGAGCTACCATGCCTGGCAGAAACCTTAGTAAGGTTCTTAAGCTGTACATGAAGTGGAGTTGTCAAATTTACATCTGGAAAATTAAAACAAGTTATGTTCTCATTTCAAATGTATGGGAGTACCAATTTAACCCTGTCCTTGTCCACATGTGGTATTCCTTTAAAAACATTGCCACCCAGTTTTGTTTTGTTTTTTTAAACTGGATTACCCTAGACACCCAGTCCTCACCGTGCTTGAAGGATACTTTATCTCTGAAATCTTTGAAATTCTATCATAATCTCTTTGCCTTAAATTTGGCTAAAACATAAAATGTATACATTTTTTTTTCCCTTCTCTTTCTGCCCCCTTTCTTCATAAGCATATGAAATGACTTCAGCTTCATTTGTTCTAGAATGTGGATGTTTTGAAGAGACATTTCATGTCTCTCTTATTCTCTATTGTATCATGACTATAGTGTACTAGATGCTTGATGCTCAATAAATTTGTCAAGAAAAAATACTGTTTTCTTTCTATACACAGTATTGGTAAGGTTGATCTGTATATTTCTAACATTTTTTTCTTTTGTTAATCTATTTTGTCCTTTTGATTTGAGTTGTAGGATAATTCATTTGCTGATTTCTTTATGTTACTAATTTTTGTTTGGTTATATTTCATATGTTGCTTATTGTTTCTATTGCTGTTTTAAATTTGACAAATCATGCTTTTCATCTCTGAAATCTTTTCCTCAGATTATTCTGATTTCATTTTTATGGATGTAAAATTCACTCAAATTCTTTTAAAATATTAAGTACCTTGCATTTTTTTTACTTTTCTTCAACTTATACCAGATACTGTGAGACTGTCAAGTTTTTAAATCTCTTTTTCAGCTCTGGGGCATTTAAACTTTAATATTAGTGTGTTTAAAACCCCTTAGGACAGCAAATTAAAAGAAAATAGAGTACCCATTTCTTCCTTCAATCCAGCCACCTCAACACAATTAAAATGTGGTATTGTGCTGGACAGAATTGCTCGTGCCTGTTATCTCAGCCCTTTGGCAGGCTGAGACAGGCAGATCCTGTGAGCTCAGAAGTTTTAGAACAGCCTGGGCAACATGGTGAAACCCCATCTCTACAGAAAATTAGCCACACATGATGGCTTGTGCCTGTGGCCCCAACATGTGGGAGGCTGAGGTGGGAGGACTGCTTGAGCTCAGGAGGATGAGGTTGTAGTCAGCTTTAGCCTGCACTTTAGCCTGGGTGACAGAACAAGACCCTGTCTCAAAAAAAAAAAAAAAAAAAAGTGTCATGAAATTTTTATTAGTATAAAGTTAGGCCTAAGAGTTTTATTTGCAAAGATTACCATGTGGGAATAATCTCTAGACATTTTTGCTTTCCTGGCCTATTTTGTAAGGAACCGGCCCCCCACCAGCAGCACAAAAGTTGGAGAACTGGATCAGGAAAAGAAGCAGAGCTTGAGTACACACTGCCATGTTTGAGAGGACCGTGAATTCAGAACTTGAAAGAATTGGAGTTTTTAAAAATTATTATTGTAATTTAGGTTCTGGGGTACATGTGCAGATCATGCAGGATTGTAGCATAGGTACATACATGGCAAGGTGATTTGCTGCCTTAATCATTCTAAGCAAACTGACACAAGAACAGGAGTTCTTTCCCTAATTACGCTTTGGAGTTTAGCCCTTGGGACCAAGAAATGAATGTGAGTTCCTCTTCCCTAGGAGTTCGGTCTAATGCTAGACATCTATGGTAATAAGCACAGTCAGTGGGACAGAAATACGTGGTGTGAAGGTAAAGTAAAGAGATCTGTAATTCATGGTTGATGTTTTCCACTGAGGGGGCAGCCTGGGTTTTTTTGAAGAATGGAGGACATTTGAGATTTCGTTTTGGGGTAATAGGAGACTGTAACCTGGGATGGGTAAAAAAAAAAAAAAATTACAAAGCAATGCTTATGCTCAGGTTGGAAACCTTGAATTCGTACTTGTGCTAATTATGGGTTTTTTCCTAGTAGTATTTACCGCTCCTATACAGAGGTGGAAAATGAAACTAGTGTATTGACTCAAAATAGGTGATTTGAAGGAAAATGGGACTGAGCAAAGTAGTGCTTTATAATGAGCCCCAGTTTTCGGGATAAGACTGCCAGAGACTTATTACTTTTCACATTATACTGTGAAATTAATCATTAAAACTTTAAGTAAAAATGGATATTTTTGGCCAGGTGTGGTGGTGGCTCATTTCTGTAATCCAAGCCCTTTGGGAAGCTGAGGCGGGTGGATCACTTGAGGTCAGGAGTTCAAGACCAGCCTGGTTACCAACAGGATGAAACCCTGTCTCTACTAAAAATAGAAAAATTAGCCCAATGTCTTGGTTCATGCTTGTAATCCCAGCTACTTGGGAGGCCAAGGCGGGAAGATCACTTGAATCCAGGAGACGGAGATTGCAGTGAGCCAAGATCACGCCACTGCACTCCAGCCTGGGAGACAGAGCAAGACTTCATCTCCAAACAAACAAACCAAACATACATGATATGTTTCATCCCGTTGCACTTACTTTCCTTGTCAAAGCTCAAATTGTCCCTTTTTTAGCCTGTGGTGGCACTTCTGCTTTGCTCTTGGGCCTTCTAACAATCCTGTTCATGCTTAGTTTCCCTGTTGTCCAGTGTGACAAGATGTTGTTGGCTTATCTTGCGTATTTCCTGCCCAGCCACTTTTCCAAGAAGAATGTGAACATTTAAAACAAAAACACAGTTTCAGTGTACCAGTCGTACCCCAAACCAGCTTAATCAGAATCCCTGGTGGGGATAGGGCCCAGATACAGACAGGGTCCCCAGGCTGGAGTACAGTGGTGGGATCTCAGCTCACTGCAACCTCTGCCTTTTGGGTTCAAGTGATTCTCTTGCCTCAGCCTCCTGAGTAGTTGGGACTACAGTCATGAGCCACCACTGTCAGCTAATTTTTGTATTTTTAGTAGAAGTGGGGTTTTGTCATGTTGGCCAGGCTGGTCTCCAACTCCTGACCTCAAGTGATCTGCCTGCCTTGGCCTCCCAAAGTGCTGGGATTACAGGCATGAACCACCACACCCTGCCAGGATACAATATTTTTTTTAAAAGCATGCCCAGCCTTGGACAGAAAACCACTTGAGGAGAGTTTGCTGCCTTATTGGGTTCTGTAAACGCCTTATCTCTGCACAAGGCTGGAACTTTGAGTCGAGTCCTTGGCTGAAGCTCTCATTGCTCCATGGTGACCTTTATTCCCTCTCCTGCTTAAAGCTTTTGGTTCAGAATTTTGACCCAAATGCATCTGTGTTGAAAGCCAGGCTTGGTCTGTCATCTCAGGACTCTGTGTCCGTCCTTTTCCTTGCCTGTGTTGAGTTGGGGCTCATCTTCATGCCTCTGGGAAATAAATTCTTTGATAGCTTGGTTAGGTTCTCAGTACTTTCCGTTGCCCTTAGAATGAATACAAAAATATGTGGCCTGCAGTGTAGGCTGTGAACAGCTATCAGTGTAGACTGCTCAGGCCTCCTTTTCGTTCCTGGAGTCTGCCATGCTTCCTTTTACCCCCAGGCCTTTGCACGTGCTGCTGTCTGCTGGGAATGCCTTGCCTTTCCTCGTTACTTAGTTCTCATCTTTCAGGCGCCAGCTTGACTGTCTTCATCAGGGGAGCCTTCTCTGACCTTGGTACACCAGATCAACCCCCATGTGTTGACTTTGTCTCACTGGTAATATTTCTCTACCTTAGGACATATATCAAGGCCCAGAAGTTGCAGTTTTGCATTTGTTCGTGTGATCATTTGATGCATGTCTCTCTTTGGAGCCTGACTTTTTGGGGCTCACGTCCTGTCTCCATCACTTTTAGCTGTGGGACATTGAACAAATCATTTCATCTCTGGTCCCCAGTTTCTTTTAACTGCAGAACATGGATGATATAATACTTTCACCTACCTTGTAGGTGGGGATGAAGATTAAATAGGGTAATTTGTGTAAAGCACTTAGAACAGAGCTAGCTCTTAATAGCATATAATCTTGGCAGGTATTACTGATGATTACTGCAGTGACCACAGGCTTCATAGAGGCAGGGGTCATTTCTGTTTAGATTTGTATGCAGGGTGCTTCGCACATGGACGGTACTCAGGAAACATTTGTTGGATGAATGAAGTGGAGATAATAGTAATACCACGTTTATAGAATTCCATGAGGATATAAAATAATGCAAGTATATAAGTTTTTGGTAGCATGTCTAGCTCATAGTAGGTGCTTGATAAATATTCAATTCCTGAATGAGTAAAATGGGGACAATAGTAATACCAGCTTATGAGGTTGTCATGGGGATCTAAGGTAACTGTAGTACCTTGTAGAGTGCCTAGCACATAGTAGGTGCTCAGAAAGTATTTGTTGAATAAGTGAAGTCGGGAAGATGGTAACACCAGCTCCTAGGGTTGCTGCGGGGATAGAAGATAAGGCAGGTCGATAGCTTGTTGTCTTGTGGTTGTACCTGGTAGATACTCTGTTTGAAAGGAGAGGAGCTGCTATGAGTTTCTTTCTCCTGGGGCTTAGGAGAGAATCCTTTTGGGGTGAAGAATGGTATGGAGTGGACCCTGGTCCTCTTGAAGGAAGAATGGGCAGCTGACTACTCCTTGTCAAGCTCTGGCCTGGATGAAAAGCTGAATCATTCCTTTCCCTCTTCCTCCCTAACCTGTTCTTTTTTTCCGCTAGAATCCTTGCCCAGAGTCCAGCGCCTCCTTCCTGTCCAGGATCACCTTCTGGTGGATCACAGGGTAAGGCTGGGCCCCCAAGACCTTAGGGAGGTGGTGGGGAATGAATGAATGAATGAATGAATGAATGAACATGCTGAGCTCTCCGCTTGACTTCTCTCTCCTTCGCTCTTCTGCAGAGCTGTCTTGAATCTGCCTGTGCTGGCCATGTGGTTTCAGAGACACCAACTCTGTCCTCCAAGTCCATCACCTTGAATGTAATAAACGCATGAGCCATGAGCAGCTTAAATCTCTGCAGAAGGCTTGGCCTGGGACAGCCATACACTGGACTGCTCTTCCTTTAGCTTCAGATTTGGGTTTTTGTTTTATATTTTTTATTTCTTGCATAGATAACATGTTCAACCTGACAGGTTTGAGCTTTTTAAGTATTAGGTATAGTTATTATTGACATTGTTCCCATCTCATCCCCCACTCCTTAGAAAAATAAAACTATCTCACCATAGGAAGAAACATGAGTTAAAAAAATGTGCAGATCAGTAGTAAGAAAACACCTAGAGGCAGCCACTGTCACCATTTTAGTATGCCCCCCTCTGGTCTTCTTTTCATTTTGAGATGGAGTCTCACTCTGTCTGCCAGGCTGGAGTGTAGTGGTGCGGTCTCAGCTCACTACAACCTCTGCCTCCTGGGTTCAAGTGATTCTCCTGCTTCAGTCTCTCAGGTAGCTAGGATTACAGGTGTGTGCCACCATGCCTTACTAATTTTTGTATTTTTATTAGAGACAGCGTTTTGCCATGTTGGCCAGGTTGGTCTTGAACTCCTGACCTCAGGTGATAAACCCACATCAGCCTCCCAAAGTGCTGGGATTACAGGTGTGAGCCACCATGCCGAGCCACCTTGTGGTTTTCTTTTTGTACATCTTTTTCTGCCCATTGTCAACATCTTATTGGGGATTATTTAAAGAATCTTTTTTTCACCCTAATATGCATCTTTTTTTTGTTTTTTTTGGAGACAGGCTTTCTCTCTGTCGCTGAGGCTGGAGTGCAGTAGCACAGTCATAGCTCACTGCAGTCTTGATCTACCAGGTTCAGGTGATGCTCCTGCCTCAGCCTCCCGAGTACTGGGACTATAGGCATGCTTCACCATGCCCAACAGGTTTTTGTATTTTTTTTTTTTTTTTTTTGCAGAGATGGGGTTTTACCATGTTACCCAGGCTTGTCTCCAGCTCCTTAGCTCAAGTGATTCTTCCGCCTCAGCCTCCAGGAGTGTTGGGATTATAGGAATGAGCCATCATGCCCAGTCTTATTCTTCTATGAGCTTTTTACCAACATCTTTTTAAAAGATTAGCTGTTTTAAATAATTTCTCCAAATTGCTATTAAAGAGCGTCACTGGGACAGTTAATGTAATTTGTATATGACTGCAGGACATCAGGTACATACTAATAACATTCGTTCTTGTTTTGGAAAATTGTGCTCCAGTTACATAAGACCATGTCCTGGATTGTTCGGGGATACCCCCAGTGTTTTGGGGGTAAAGATATGTAGAGCCTACATCTTTTTTTTTCTGGTGGGAGGGGACAGAGCCTTGCTCTGTCATCCAGGCTGGAATGCAGTGGCGTGATCTAAGCTCACTGCAGCCTCTGCCTCCTGGGTTTAAACAATTCTCCTGTCTCAGCCTCCTGAGTAGCTGGGATTATAGGCATGCACCACCATGCCTGGCTAATTTTTCTTTTTTTTTTTTTTAGACAGAGTTTCGCTCTTGTTACCCAGGCTGGAGTGCAATGGCGCGATCTCGGCTCACCGCAACCTCCGCCTCCTGGGTTCAGGCAATTGTCCTGCCTCAGCCTCCTGAGTTGCTGGGATTACAGGCATGCGCCACCATGCCCAGCTAATTTTTTGTATTTTTAGTAGAGACGGGGTTTCACCATGTTGACCAGACTGGTCTCAAACTCCTGACCTCAGGTGATCCACCCACCTCAACCTCCCATGGTGCTGGGATTAGAGGTGTGAGCCACTGTGCTAGGCCTTTAAATGTTTGGTTTAGAAAAAGAGGATGTGTTTGCACGCACGCGTGTATGTGTGTGTGGATGGACAGACACAGAATGATACTGTAAATTTGACAACGTTAATAGCAGTGAGTTGAGTGAATTCTTAGTATGATTTCAGTAATTTTTCTGTAAGTTTGAAATTATTTTAAAACAAAAAATGAAAGTGTTCAACTTTTTAAGTGTTCAGTTGGCCGAGTGCGGTGGTTCACAGCTGTAATGTTAGCACTTTGGGAGGCCAAGGTGGATGGATTATCTGAGGTCAGGAGTCTGAGACCAGCCTGGCCCATGTGGTAAAGCCCTGTCTCCACTAAAAAATACAAAAATTAGCTGGTCTTGGTGGTATGTGCCTGTAATCCCAGCTACTTGGGAGGTTGAGGCAGGGGAATTGCTTGAACCCAGGAGGCAGAGGTTACACTGAGCTGAGATTGCACCACTGCACTCCAGCCTGGGTAGAGTCACGTAGAAAGACTAATATAATAAAACTCAATAAGCTTATCACCCAGATTTCATGACTGCTAATGCTTTGTCGTGTCAGCCTTTTTTCCCCCCCCCTCAAATTGTTTCTTTTTAGGTCTGGCCCTGTTGCCCAGGCTGGAGCGCAATGACACGATCATGGCTCCCTACAGCCTCTACCTCCTGGCCTTGAGCAATCCTCCCACCTCAGCCTCTTGAGGAGCTGAGACTACAGGTGTGAGCCATTATGAATGGGTAATATTTTTTTACTTTTTGTAGATAGTCACCCAGTGTTGCACAGGCTGGTCTTGAACTCCTGAGCTCACAAAGTCCTCCCAACTTGGCCTCCTGAAGTGCTAGGCTTATAGGCATAAGCGACTGGTCCTGGCCCATATTAGCCTTTTTTAATGTAAAATATTAAAAAGTTGAAGGGACATGGTGGCTCCCACCTATAATACCAACACTTCATGAGGCCGAGGTGGGAGGATTGCTTGAGCCCAGGAGCAATCCTTCCAGGAGCAAGATCAGCTTGGGCAGCATAGGAAGACTCTGTCTCTATAAAAATTAAAAAATAATCAGCCAATCATAATGGCTCACACCTGAAGTCCCAGCCACTCAGGAGGCTGAGGTGGGAGGATCACTCTAGATCAGGAGTTGGAAACTGCAGGGAGCCATGATCGTGCCACTGTACTCCATCATGGGTGACAGAGCGAGACCATGTCACCAAATAAAGGAATGAGGCCAAGCATGGTGGCTCATGCCTGTAATCCCAGCATTTTTGGAGGCCGAGGCGGGGAGATTGCCTGAGCTCAGGACTTTGAGACCAGCCTGGGCAACATGGTGAAACCCTATCTCTACTAAAATACAAAAAATTAGCCAGGTGTGGTGGCGTGTGCCTGTAGTCCCAGACTTCGGAGGCAGAGGTTGCAGTGAGCCAAGAACACGCTACTGCACTCCAACCTGGGTGACATAGTGAGACTCCATCTCAAAAAAACAAAAAAGTAAAAAATGAATGAAAAAAATAGTGAACTAGAGCCATCTTGATATTTTTTTCCCTAAATCTTTTATATGCACCCCCAAAAAGAAAGCCATTTTTCCTTTATGACCCAACAGAATGAGCTGTAATAACCTTGTAATATGTGCAAATGTCTATCCACATTCAGACATCCCCAGCTTCGTGGCTGCCTTCATTTGCACTGGGCCGTTGTGCTGGGCAAGGGCACAGCATTGGCATGTATGCGGAGTGAATGAGCTCCATGCTCCGTCCTCCTCCTCCTCCTCCTCCTCTCATTGACACCCCTTTGTGTCTTGGCCTCAGGTTGATTGTCCAGGGCTACCACCAGACCCTGGATAGCAGTGGCCTCTGGTCCTTAAACAAGGAGAATTTGTCCTCGGAACAAGTCGTGCCTGTTTTGGTAAAGAACTGGAAGAAAAAACGCACCAAGTCTAGGAAGTAAGTGTGAGTTGCTTGTCCTCTAGGATGCCCTGGTTCCCTCCTTCCTGCCCCTGTGGCCTGCATCCAGGCTGTGGCCCTAGCAATGCTGCCTATTACTAGCTTTATGGTTCTCGCATCTCCTCTGGGCCTCAGTTTGTTTTTCTGCCAAATGGGGTAAAATCTCACAAGTTGTTAAGGCAACTGAGTAGAAGAGAGAAGCTGGGCATGGTGCCTCATGCCTGTAATCCCAGCACTTTGGGAGGCCAAGGCGGGTGGATCACAAGGTCAGGAGTTTGAAACCAGCCTGGCCAACATGGTGAAACCCCATCTCTACCAAAAATACAAAAATTTACCTGGGTTTGGTGTCGAGTGCCTGTAATCCCAGCTACTTAGGAGACTGAGGCATAAGAATCGCTTGATCCCAGGAGGTGGAAGTTGCAATGAGCCAAAATCACACCACTGCACTTCAGCCTGGGAGACAGAGTGAGACTCTGTCTCAAGAAAAGAAAAAAACACTGCCCAAGCAGGGAGTTGATGCTGTTTGCCATGGCATGTGACTGTCCCTCCTAGAGTCAGTCTCACTTTTTCTGTCCCTTTCTGAGCATCTGGCACCCTGCGTGTTCCTGCTTTTTGAAGGGTTTGTGTCCACCACACCCAGCTGACCATGTACGTTTGTTTAGCCAAAGAAGCCCCATTTGCGGGTGATTTTTGCTGTACTGGATTTTAGGCTCTACCCGCTAGGTAAGGTGTGTCCCACTGCGCCACCTCTGTCATTCTTTTGGGAATCAGGTCAGGGCTTCCACTGCACATACCTTAACTCGTCAAATCTGAGACATCATCCATGGCATGATACGGTATTGTGTGTAACAGTAAGAAAGAAAAACAACTGCTAATTAAACAAGGACATAAGATGCATCCCGAACCCGGACTAGCTGGAGCATGAAATTGCAAGTGACTTCGGGGGCAGTGGATTGTGGCCATGGGGGCAGTAGGGTGGCTGTTTTTGTTTCTGTTGCCTGTTCTGTGGTAAGCTTACTATGGTAAGCTGTGATGGGGCCAGCCTGGTGCATTGGATTCTCCCCAGACCCGTTGGCCCTACAGAGAAAAACCCCAGACCCGGGATCAGTTCCTCATTTTATTCCAGGGATGCCCAGGATACAGGCCTTCAGTCAGACCCAGATGGTAAATGGAAATGTGGGCCATCCATGGTGCCAACCAGTAGGACACAGCAGAGGACCTTGTGACCCTGGTGGAAGGCTGTTTGGTCCAGGTAATCGAAGAAATTATCTTATGGGAGACAGAGCTTGGACCTCCGTGGCTGAGCATTGTACGGAAATGGCCCATGTCCTTGACCCAGTTGAAGGTCATTTGCAGGCAGAGGTGAGGTCCCTGGTTACTTCATGGAGACAGAACTGGTAGGATGGATGGATGGATAAATGATACATTGGTAGGTAGAGAGATAGAAGATGGATACATGATAGGTGGATAGATAGATGATAGATTGATAGATGATGGATGAGTGGATGGATTGAGGGTGAGAGGGGATCTACTAGGGAAACTGGATCATGTGATTATGAAGAAGTCCTATGCTAGGCCATCTGCAAGCTGGAGAACCTGAGAAGCTGGTAGCATGGCTCAGACCAAGTCCAAAGATCTCAGACCCACAGAAGCTGATGGTGGAATTCTCAGTCCACAACCAAAGGCCTGAGAACCTGGAGTGACTAGAGTAAGTCCCAGAGGCCAGAGGCCAGACAGCCTGGAGTTGTGATTTCCAGGGGCAGGAGAGGATGACCTTCTGGCTGCAGAAGAGAGAACACATGAATTTACCATTTCTCTGACATTTTCTTATGTTTGGACCCTCTGCTGATTGGGTAGTGCCCAGTCACATGGGGCGAGGATGGATCCTCATTGAGTCCACTGATTCAAATGCCAGTCTCATCTGGAAACATCCTCACAGGCACACACTCAGAAATAACACTTTACCAGCTATCTGAGTATCCCTTAACCCCGTCAAGTTGACCCTCTAATATCACCTCTCACCTGGATTCCTTCAGCCTCACCTGCGGTGTTCTCCCTGCTATGAAGGCCACATTTGTAACATGGACTTCAGCATTCCTCATCACCAACGCCTCTGCTGATTGCCTGGCTTGGCTTTCTTTCATGAAAGAAGGATGCCCACCTTTGTGTTCCCTGGAGCTTGCCAGGTGAGCAGGTTGCCGGAGACACCATGGGAGGGGCGGAGCCTACGTAGGAGTATGGTGTTTGAATCAAGAAACTTCTCCACTGACCTGGCTCTTAATTCATTGAGCAGGTGAAACTGACTGCTGTTTTTGTTTTGTTTTTTTTTGTTTTTGCTTAGCGATGTGTAGGCCCTGATGGTTCAGGGAGTGAAACAAACAGATCTCTTTTTTTTTTTTTTTTTTTGAGATGAAGTCTTGCTCTGTCACCAGGTTGGAATGCAGCGGCACAGTGGCATCATCTCCGCTCACTGCAACCTCCACCACCTGGGTTCAAGCGATTCTCGTGCCTCAGCCTCCTGAGTAGCTGGGATTACAGGTATGCACCACCATGTCTGACTTATTATTTTATATATGTATTTTTTCTGAGACAGAGTTTCCCTCTTGTCACCAAGGCTGGTGTGCAATGGCAGAATCTCAGCTCACCGCACTCTGCCTCCTGGGTCCAAGCGATTCTCCTGCCTCAGCCTCCCGAGTAGCTGGGATTGTAGGTATGTACCACCACACCGGGCAATTTTTGTATTTTGAGTAGAAGGGTTTCTTCATGTTGGTTAGGCTGGTCTCAAACTCCCAGCCTCAGGTGATCCACCTGCCTCGGCCTCCCAAAATGCAAAGTGCTGGGATTATAGGTGTGAGCCACTGTGCCTGGCCTTTTTAATTTTTTTTTTTTTTCATAGAGACAGGTCTCACTATGTTGCCCAGGGTGGTCTCCAACTCTTGGCGTCCAGAGATCCTCCTGCCTCAGCCTCCCAAGTAGCTCCAATTATAGACATGAGCCACACCTGGCTAATTTTGTGTTTTTAGATGACATGGGGTTTCATCACGTTGGTCAGGCTCATCTTGACCTCCTGACCTTAGGTGATCCACCCCTGCCTCTGCCTTCCAGAGTGCCGGGATTACAGGTGTGAGCCACTGTGCCTGACCTACACTGTTGTATTTAAACTTTTCAAAGCAAGCTACGCAGGGATAGACCTGTCACCATACTCCAGGACAGGTACCAGAACACTCAGTGTAGCATAGATCATGATAGTAAAAAACAGGGAACAACCTGTTTTTGCAATGAATGAAAGAAAGGTAATGCCAGCAGGGCACATCCACATGCCAGACAAGCATGCATCATCAACACAAATGAAGCAAGCCAGGCATGACAGCAGTGCACCTGCAGTCCCAGCTACTTGGGAAGCAAAAGCAGGAGGATTGCTTGAGCCCAGGAGTTTGCGGCTATAGTGAGCTATGATCACACTACTGTACTCCAGCCTGGGGGACAGAGCATGACCCCCTTTCAAAACCAAAACTAAAAAAAAAGCGGAATGAACCCAGATGTTATACAATTAACTACACAAAGAGAACTCTGTACAGTATGACCCCATTTAAATCTGTCAAAATATTTTTAGAAAACCTATATGCTTGTACATTTTCTTCCAAAAGCAAGCACAAAACTGACACTTTGGAGAGGAACTGATGGAAGACAAGACAGTATACTTTTTGTGTCTTTCTGTATGATTTGATTCTTTTTTTCTACAGTGGATGACCAGTATTTGTTCAGCACCTGCTGTGCATTGTTTTATGTACTGAGGATACAGCAGCCCACCTGGAGCTGACATTCTAGTGGGGAAAGAAAAGTAAGTATACTTTTAAAAATTCAATTTTTTGTTTTTTTGAGACAGGGCCTTCCTTTGTTGCCCAGGCTAGAGTGCAGTGGCTCAATTTTGGCTCACTGTGACCTCTGCCTCCCAGGTTCAAAAGATTCTCATGTCTCGGCCTCCATCACAATGCCCAGCTAATTTTTTTTTTTTTTAAAGCCAAGATGGGGTTTTGCCAGGTTGGCCAGACTGGGCTGGAGCTCCTGGCCTTGAGTGATCCACCTACCTCGGACTTCCAAAGTGCTGAGATTACCCATGTGAGCCACCATGCCCAGCCCAAAATAAGTAAATTTTAGAGTGTGTTTAGACCATGCCATATCTGTGGTCTAACCACACTTCATAAGTGGTCCACGGGACACTGACAGTCCACAATTTGTGACCAGTTGGTGATATTATGAGGAGGCAGCACCATAATGAAGATCAACTATGGCACCAGGCATGCCATTCAGCTCACATTTTTTTTCTTACAAGGCTTTCTTAATACAGGAAGCAGAAGGCACTGGTTTCCATCCTGGCATAAATGCCTTACTTAGTCTGCCAGGTTGGCCAGGCTGGTCTTGAACTCCTGACCTCAAGTGATCTGCCCTCCTTGGCCTCAAAAGCGCTGGGATTACATGCATGAGCCACTGTGCCCAAGTGCCACTTTATTTATTAAAGCCCCTTGTGATTCACCTGCAACCAGGACTGAAAATCCTTGGTGCAGACTGCCTCCCTGTGTCCAGGAATAATCTGCAGCCCCTACTTCCCTTCCAGGTGTGTCTATGTCTACTTGTGGCTGTTGTGTGAGAGCCTGCATTTTTGAATTCTGCTTTTATTCATGTTACCTGAGCATGTTCCCACAGTCTCCCTGACCGTGCTGCCAGCTGCATATTTATCCCTTTTGTATCTTCCATTCTGGGTCCTCTCGCACCTCTTCTGGGTTCAGCCCTTTGGTGCCTTAAATTGTGCTGCTTTCTCTCCTGGCACCAAAGAATGAGACAGCCAGTGCACAGTGGGGGCCGTAGTCATCATTATCAGTCAGGTGTTGTGAACTAGGAAAGAGATATGATCTGTTTAAACATAGCAGAGTGTCCGAGAGCCCTTGACAGATGTTGGTTGTCTTTGTTATTGTTGATGTTCTGGTGATTATTGTTGATGCTGGGTGGATTCTTCCTGGGATTGGGGCAGATACCCAGTTGTGCTGTCCCTTGGCATTTTTATCAGGGTCTTTCCTTAAGTCTGCAGCCAAGGTATCTACCAGGGCTGGGGTCTCATCTGAAGACTCAACTGGGGAAGGGCCCACTTTGAAGCTCACCTGGTTGTTGGCAGAACTCGGTTTCCTAGTTGCTCATATATTGAAACGCTTCCCGATTATTGTGGAATCAGCCAGTGCTCCAGGTACCTTTTACAATGAACTCTTAGGAGCTCTCTGATCTGGAAACAAAGGGTTAATTCCTAGCACTTCAGGGGTCCCTGGGCCTCTGCCTGTTGGCTGATAACCTTGTCAAACTAATTACCTATTTTGAATATCGCCTCTTCTTGCAGTGCTTGGGACACGGAGGCTATGCCCTTTCCTTCCTGTGGTTCCTTACATCCTGGTCCTGGGAAGTGAGCTTCACATGGTAGAGATACTGTCATCTGGGCTAGGTTTTACCCATTGCTGCTAGTACAGGATGCTGGCTCAGGCCAAACAGCTTGAGAACTTCATGAAGCATACACAAGTTTCAATACCGAATTGATCAGGTTGAAGAAAGGATATCAGAGATTGAAGATCAACTCAATGAAATAAAGCAAGAAGGCAAGATTAGAGAAAACTGAAAAGAAATGAACAAAGCCTCCAAGAAATAATAGGATTATGTGAAAAGACCAAACCTATGTTTAATCGGTGTACCTGACTGTGAGAGAGTAAAACCTAGTTGGAAAACACTCTTAAGGACATTTTCCAGGAGAAGTTCCTTAACCTAGCAAGGCAAGTCAACATTCAAACTGAAGAAATACAGAGAACACAAAGATATACCTCCAAAAGAGCAACCCCAAGGCACATAATTGTTAGATTTACCAGGGTTGAAATGAAGGAAGAAATACTAAAGGCAGCCAGAGAGAAACATCAGGTTACCCACAAAGGGAAGCATATCAGACTCACAGCGGATCTCTTGGCAGAAACCCTACAAACCAGAAGAGTGGGGGGACAGTATTCAACATCCTTAAAGAAATTCATTAAGAATTTCATATACAGCCAAACTAAGCTTCATAAGCGAAGAAGAAATAAAATCCTTTACAGATCAGCAACTGCTGAGAGATTTTTTCACCACCAGACCTTACAGAAAGCTCCTGAAGGAACCACTAAACATGTAAAAGAATAACCAGTCCCAGCCACTGCAAAAGTATACCAAATTTTAAAGACCATAGACACTATGAAGAAACTGCATCAACTAATGGGCAAAACAATGAGCTAGCATCAAAATGGCAGAATCAAATTCACACATAACAATATTAACCTTAAATGTAAATGGACTTAAATGCCTACTCAAGACACAGACTGGGACATTGAATAAAGCGTCAAGATCAATCAGTACGTTGTATTCAGGCGACCCATCTCACATGCAAACACACACATAGGCTCAAAATAAAGGAATGGAGGAAGATTTACCAAGCAAATGGAGAGCAAAAAAAAAAAAAAAAAAAAAAAAAAAAAAAAAAAAAAAAAAAAAAAGGCAACAGTTGCAATCCTAGTCTCTGATAAAACAGACTTTAAACCAACAAAGATCAAAAGCGACCAAAGGGATCAATACAACAGGAAGAGATAACTATCCTAAATATTGTACAACCAATACAGGAGCACCCAGATACATAAAGCAAGTTCTTAATGACCTACAAAGAGACTTAGACTCCCACACAGTAATAGTGGGTGACTTTATCACCCCATTGTCAATATTAGATCAATGAGGCAGAAAATTAACAAGGATATCCTAGACTTGAACTCTGATCTGGACCTAGTGGACCTAATAGACATCTACAGAACTCTCCACTCCAGATCCACAGAATATACATTCTTCTCAGCAACACATCACACTTACTCAAAAGTTGACTACATAATGAAGTAAATCAGTCTTCAGCAAATGCAAAAGAATAGAAATCATAACAACTAGTCTCTCAGACCACAGTGCAATCAGAACTCAGGATTTAAAAACACACTCAAAACTGCACAACTACATGAAAACGGAACAAGTTGCTCCTGAATGACTACTGGCTAAATAATGAAATGAAGGCAGAAATAAAGATGTTCTTTGAAACTAATAAGAACAAAGATGCAACGTACCAGAATCTCTGGGACACATTTAAAGTAGTGCCTACAGGGAAATTTCTAGCACTAAATTTCTAAATCTCTAGCATTAGAAACGAGGAAAGATCTAAAATCACCACCCTATTGACACAATTGAAAGAACTAGAGGAGCAAGATCAAATGAATTCAAAAGCTAGGAGAAGACAAGAAATAACTAAGTTGAGAGCAGAACTGAAGGAGATAGACACACAAAAAACACTTCAAAAAAAAAATCAGTGAATCCAGGAGCTGATTTTTTCAAAAGATCAACACAATAGACCACTAGCCAGACTAATAAAAAAGAAGAGGAGAATAGATGCAATTAAAAAGTGATAAAGGGATATCATCACTGATCTCACAGAAATACAAACTACCATCAGCGATTACTACAAACACCTCTTGCAAATAAACCAGTAAATCTAGACGATTAGGATAAATTTCAGGACACATACACCTCCCCCCCACCAAGACTAAACCAGGAAGAAGTTAAATCCCTGAATAGACCAATAACAAGGTCTGAAATTGAGGCAGCAATTAATAGCCTACCAAACAAAAGTCCAGGATCAGATGGGTTCACAGCTGAATTTTACCATAGGTAAAAAGAGGAGCTGGTACCATTCCTTTTGAAACTATTCCAAACGATACAAAAAGAGGGAATCCTACCTGACTCATTTTGAGAGCAACATCATCCCGATACCAAAACCTGGCAGAGACACAAGTAAAAAGGGAAATTTCAGGCCGATATCCATGATGAACATTGATGGGAAAATCCTCAATACTGGCAAACCAAATCCAACAGCACATCAAGAAGCTTATCCATCATGATCAACACAGCTTCATCCCTGAAATGCAAGGCTGGTTCAACATATGCAAATCTATAAACATAATCATCACATAAACAGAACCAAGACAAAAAACACATGATTATCTCAATAGATGCAGAGAAGGCCTTCAACAAAATTCAACAGCCCTTTATGCTAAAAACTCAATAAACTAGGTTTCGATGGAATGTATCTCAAAATAAGAGCTATTTATGACAAAACCACAGACAATAACATACTGTATGGACAAAAACTGGAAGCATTCCCTTTGAAAACCGGCACAAGACAAGGATGCCCTCTCTCCTCACTCCTACTCAACACAGTATTGGAAGTTTTGGTCAGGGCAATCAGGCAAGAAAAAGAAAGGGTATTCAACCAGGAAAAAAGGAAGTCAAATTGTATTTGCAGATGACATGATTGTATATTTAGAAGACACCATTTTCTCAGCCCAAAATCTGCTAAGCTGATAAGCAAATTCAGCAAAGTCTAAGAATACACAATCAATGTGCAGAAATTACAAGCATTCCTATACATCAATAATAGCCAAATCATGAGTGAACTCCCATTCACAATTGCTATAAAGAGTGTAAAATATCTAGGGATACATCTAACAAGGGATGAAAAGACCTCTTGAAGGAGAACTACAAACCATTGCTCAAGGAAATATGAGAGGACACAAACAGATCGAAAAACATTTCCATGCTCATGGTTAGGAAGAATCAATACTGTGAAAATGGCCATACTGTCCAAAATATACATTCAGTGCTACCCCATGAAGGTTCCATTGACTTTCTTCACAATATTGGAAAAAACTACCTTAAACTTCATATTGAACCAAAAGAGAGCCCTCATAGCCAAGACAATCCTAAGCAAAAACAACAAAAACAAAGCTAGAGGCATCATGCTACCTGACTTTATACTATACTACAAGGCTACAGTAATCAAAACAGCAATTCTGATACCAAAACAGAGATACAGATCAATGGAATAGAATAGAGGCCTCAGAAGTAATGCCACACAGCTACAACCATCTGATCTTTGACAAACCTGACAAAAACAAGCAATGGGGAAAGGATTCCCTATTTAATAAATGGTGTTGGGGAAACTGGCTAGCCATCTACAGAAAGCTGAAACTGCATCCCTTCCTTACACCTTATACACAAATTAACTCTAGATGGATTAAATATTTAAAAAACCCTAAAAGAAAACCGAGGCAATACCATTTAGGACACGGGCATAGGCAAGAACTTCATGACTAAAACACCAAAAGCAATGGCAACAAAAGCCAAAATAGACAAGTGGGATCTAATTAAACTTAAGAGCTTCTGCACAGCCAAAGAAACAATCATTAGAGTGAACCAGCAACCAAAAGTATGGGAAAAAAATTTTGCAATCTATCCATCTGACAAAGGGGCAACATCCAGAATCTAGAAAGAAATTAAACAAATTTACATGAAAAGCCCATCAAAAAGTGGACAAAGGATGTGAACAGATGCTTCTCAAAAGAAGACATTTATGCAGCCAACAAACATGAAAAGAAGCTCATCATCACTGGTCATTAGAGAAATGCAAATCAAAATCACATTGAGATACCATGTCATGCCAGTTAGAATGGTGATCATTAATAAATCAGGAGACAACAGATGCTGGAGAGGATGTGGAGAAATAGGAATGCATTTGCACTGTTGGCAGCAGTGTAAATTCATTCAGCCGCTGTGGAAAACAGTGTGGCAATTCCTCCAGGATATAGAACTAGAAATACCATTTGACCCAGCTATCCCATGACTGAGTATATACCCAAAGGTTTATAAATCATTCTGTTATAAAGACACATTCACACATGCTTATTATAGCACTGTTTACAATAGCAAAGACTTAGAACCAACCCAAATGCCCATCAATGATAGACTGGATAAAGAAAATGTGGCACATATGCACCGTGGAATACTATGCAGCCATAAAAATGGGTGAGTTCATGTCCTTTGCAGGGACATGGATAAAACTGGAAACCATTCTCAGAAAGCAAGAACAGAGAACCAAACACTGCATGTTCTCACTCATAAGTGGGTGTTGAACAGTAAGAACACAGGGACACAGGGAGGAGGGGAACATCACACACCAGGGCTTCTAAGGAGGAGAGGGGGCTAAGGGAGGGATAGCAGTGCGGGGGAGGGATAACAGGAGAAATACCTAATGTAGCTGATGGGGATGCATGCAGCAAACCACATAGCACATGTATACCTATGTAACAAACATGCATGTTCTGCATATGTATCCCAGAACTTAGTGTAATTTTTAAAAATAAATAAATCAGATGCATTCTTGTTATGCTGCCCAGGTGGTTCTCAAACTTGGCTCAGGCAACCTCAAACTCCCAATTAGCTGGGACTATAGATATATATCACCACACCCAGCTATTTTTTATACAGTTTTTAATATGTTAGTCTTACTACAGAACCAATAATATAAGTAAAGGAACAATCTCTCCTACCAAGTATGTAATACCTAATTAATAAGTGTCCAAGAAAAAGAGTTATATGCTATTTGTTGTACAGTTTTTCCAACTAAAAGGTTCCAGGGAGATTCCATGATTACAAGTAATTGGATCCACTGAAGATTTATACTGGCAAAAATATAGATGTCACACTAGTATGATTTAAAAGTCATAGTATTAACATTTATCTAATTAAACCTTAACCAAATTTCATATTTTCTCTATTGGGGAAAGCATTTTCTAATGCATATGTCTAAGGTTTTCTCTGACCAACTTTCCATAACCATCATAAAATAGCAACAGGGAAACCACTGCTAAATTTTTAAAAAGTAAATACTATGCAAAAGTTTACTGAGTGAGAAAATTTTACAAGAGACCACTTTACCTTAGTAGTAACAGTCAAGTTTTCATCATCTGGTTTAGGGCCTGAATCCACACACAGTTCGTGGAAAATGCTTTAGAGCAAAAATATACATTAAAAATGAGTAAGTTGATTTTTTTACTAATTTTTTTTAACTGCCAGTTCATATTCAGCTTACCACCCCCCCCAAAAAAAAAAAAAATCTGGGAAAAGGTCAGCCATCTCTATATGAAATAACATTTCTTGATACAATTAAAATATGGCCTCTGTTCTAAAAATAGATTTTGGTTACCTATGTCTGCCTCTGCCTGTCTAAATATATACAATGTTGAATGAAAACTGACCTTGAGCTCCATAACAAATAGTGAACAGCCAATATATTGGCAGAGCCTGACAATAATTTACCTTCACAAATTATTTGTCCTGTAGCTGAACATGAAATTCAATTAATGGATGACATAACTTTTGTTACCTAAACTAGAAGGAACCTTATGACCTAAAACAAGGTAGAAAGATACACTGTCTGTTGCCCATTATCTGTCTTTCGTTAAAAGACTAATCTGTGTCACTTCAAAATGGCAGTCTTGATTCCCCAGCATGAAAACCACTTCAGAAGGTCCCAGCAACAATCTTGCATGTTCTTCACATGTACCCCAAAACCTAAAATGCAATAAAATAAATTGGGGAAAAAAAAAAAAAGAAGGTCCCAATGCTTTTCTTTGTCCTAAGAGAGTACAGAGAATCCCCTGCTATATTTGAAATGTGTGAGAGCTAAATGTACCAAAGTCTAATAACGAATGTGTATTTTCTTATTGAGGATACTCTTCCCAGAAAGATTAGAACATTAACAATTATAAAAATCCACTTATTTTCACTCTTTAGTTCCTAACTTATGCAAGTCCACATTAACTAGTAAGCCCTTAAAAACCTTCATAGACACTCAGATAACCAACAGGAGACATTACTGGAAAAACAGAGTCCTGGCAGTTGTACCTCTGTTTCCCTAAGTACTATCTAAATACCTTTCTTCCTATGGGTTCCCACTTCCAGGTTCCACTTATGCAGGGCTTCATGGCAGTCTCCAATCTTCAAATATTCAGTCTATGAAACCACAGATTCCTGAAAGGATGGCCTCAGATCACCAGGATTGAGTGCTTTATATCCCTGCTCCTGAGTAACAACCTAACTGGAGTCTACTACCAGCACAGACACACCTCCAACTACCCTCCTGAACTTCATGACTGATTTGACAGCCAGTGATGACCCTGACCCAGCCTACATGGATATGGAAAGGACATCAGTGAATTGGGAAAAGAGGCAGAGATGAGGCGACACCCGCCCTGGCCCACAGATCTATGTAGTTCAGCAATCTCCAGCCCATCAGTACTCAAGGGGCTCTAAGCCACCCCTCTGTAAGTCAGGATGGAATTAGATGACACCACATTTCTGTCTGCTGTAGCGACTCCTCCAAAGGTTTTAGCACCTTACAATAAAAATCTTAAAGTTTGTCAGTTCTTGATTTAAAAAGAACACAGCAATCTGTTGAGAGCTTCCTTGAACCCTCTATTTTAATGTGCCTTTGGAGATAATTCCCAGTATCTTGTGTCCTTCATCTTTATAATTTATCAGACTTGTCATAAACCCCAACATTCTAATCTCTTATTGAATAATCCATATCCAGTGTTGTTTCTCTTCAAACTGGGCCTTCCCCTGCTCATTCCATTCTTAGCCATTTCCACTGGGTTCACCAGCTAATTTCATTCTCATTCTATCCACTAGGTGCACCAGATTCACTCCCCCTTTGTATTATTAAAACACATGCCAGGCCAGGCATGGTGGCTCACACCTGTAATCTCAGCACTTTGGGAAGCTGAGGCGGGCACATCACCTGAGGTCAGGAGTTCGAGACCAACATGGAGAAACCCTGTGTTTACTAAAACTACAAAATTATCCAGGCATGGTGGTGCATGCTTGTAATCCCAGATACTCAGGAGGCTAATGCAGGAGAATCGCTTGAACCTGGGAGGTAAAGTTTGCGGTGAGCTGAGATTGTGCTATTGCACTCCAGTCTCGCAACAGGAGCGAAACTCTGTCTGAAAAAAACAAAACAAAAATGCCAATAAAAAAAAAAAAAAAAAAAAAAAAAGAAGGAAGAGTATTGGGCTTTAAAACGAGTTGAAATCTCATTTCTACCACGTCTTATGTCCACAAAAAAATCATCCTTATCTCTTTGAGTCTCAAGTTCTCTATCTAGAAAATCATTTGACCAGAACATTCAACACAGACTGAAGTACTCGTAGATATTTTAATTAGTCCTAAGATTCCTTAAATTTCTGTAATTTTATGTGCTTTTGGTTCTGTCTATAGGAAAATTGGGAATACATAGCCAGCAGAATTTGAAAACAATAAAAAACACCAAGGAAGAAAAGTCATGGATAAAGAAAAAAAAATAATAAAGCATTATGGAAGTAGGCAGAAATACTAGCCTAAACAGAAAACAAAACTGGGAAGTTAAATAATTTCTCTCCAAGGCTTGCCAAATCTTGGTTTTGTAAACCTATGGGCAAACCTTTACGCTGCCCTAAAGGGTTTGATGGTTAATTAAAAAAATAAATATAAAAGGATGCTGGTTACCACAAAAATTGTCAAATTAGGACAAATTCAAGGACTAACCTCATTTCTAACAGTAACCTAAAATGAGAGTTTAACTTATTTAAACTCATTAGACATTAATTAAAATCATCTGATTAATCTTATTCAGACCTATATCTTGATCAAAGTGCTGCACAGATATCTCTATCAATCTGTGCTGAGGAGGAAGAGAACAGATTTGAAAGCCAGTTAGGCTGACAGTCAAACTGTGTGTCAGCTACTTTGTAAGCTATGGGATCATGATCACATTCATCAACCTCTCTCTAAACCACAGTTGTCTATTTAATAAACAGTAGGTTATAAGAAAACAAATGTTTTGATGGCTTTATGAGATAAATGCATGGCACATAATAGGGTATTTAGCCCAGAATACAACACTCAATAGATACTAGTTTCTTCCATCTATATTCTTAGTTAACATAATTTTTTAAATATGTAAAATCCTACCTGACTGCAGATTCAACAGAACTCCCAGAATCTATTAAAGAAAAAATGCATTTTAAATCAATAATGTATAGAATATTAAAACCATAAGAAAGTACGGTGATACATGCCTGTGATTTCAACTGTTTGGGGGGTTGAGGAAGAAGGATCACTTGAGAAACCCAGAAGTTTGAGACCAGTTTAGGAAACACAGCAAGACTACCTTCATAAAAAGTATGCACAGTTATGTACCTGGTTTAGATCATTTTTCTTTTAAGTATAGGACTGATGCTTTGTTACAAAGCATTCATCTGGGAGCATACCTGAGACTTTATTAGCATTAATATAAATTATACCTATTGGTATGTAATTAATGCCGTGAGAACTCTTCCCTTACTTTGTATTTCTTCAATGCAAAGAAGAATAAATTTATCAAAATTTCATATCTACAAGTGAACTGCAGTATGCAAGTCATCCTAGCCAAACCCTATGAAATTGGCTAAAAATGGTATTGTTAGCAGAACAGGTGGAATGAGTGACCAGTGTCAAACAGCATGATTTCTGGACTAAAATATGAGGGGGGCAGTTAAAATCAGAGTAAACAGCAGTACCCCTTATCTACTTTATGTGTGGAAAAGACACACTTGCCATGTTTTTCTCTGCTGTCACACCACAGCAACAATCAACAAAAAAGGTGGCTTCTGTGACCAAACGTGGAGAGGTTTTCCCCATCAACAAGCAAGCAATCACTTCTGCAGACGACACAAACTGGGTGTCATCTAATTCAGTTCTCTTCCTCTGTCTGCAGATAGCATCAGATGCCACAGATAAAGGGCTCAGTCCCACGAGACTGCCTCCCTATATCAGTCCTAAGTCTGAAACTCCAGATATTCGGACCAATCGGCTTCAAATTGAGGTTCCCAGGACTCCCTCTTTGTGTTAAATTGAATTGCTGGAATGGCTAAGAGTACTCAGGGAAACACACTTACCAGTATACTATGAATGACATTACAAAAGGTACAGATGAAGAGATGCATAATGCAAAGTATGGGCCTAATGGCAGAGAGATTCCATGCCCTCTCAAGACACACCACCTTCCAGGAACCTCCATGTATTCAGCGATCTGGAAGCTCACCAAGCCCAGTCCCTTTGGGTCTTTATGAAAGCTTTAATACATAGGCATCACTAATTAATCACTGGCTGTTGGGGACTGACAACCTTCAGCCCTTCTCGCCTCCCCAGAGTTTGCAGAGTGAGACAGAAGATCTCAACCCTTTAATCAGTCATGTCTTCAGGACGGTGACCAGTTCCCATCCTAGGAGCTTCCAGCCATCAATCATTAGCATACCAAAAGACATCACTTTGGAAATTCTAGAGTTTAAGAATTGTACACCAAGAAATGAGAAACAGATTTTACATCTGCAGTTTTGAATTATGTGGTTACAGATACTAATAGTTAACTGTATTCCAAACATTACATTGAAAACTCTAGAAATAAACAAGTCATAAGTGTTAGTGTGCCAATCTGAGAAGCACAATACAATGTTGAGCTATTGCCCTCTATCCATCCCAGGATGTCAATCATTCCTTTGTCGAGTGAATTCACACTGCATATGCTGTCCAGCCACTAGTCATCAACATGGTCTCCTCCTGCATCCAGCTATCAACATCATTAAGGCCTGAAGGTCCAGGAACACTGAAAGCTGATCATCTTTTTTCTGACTTAGAGTCAGGGGGTGAATAGGGGCCTAACAGTACATGACAATGCCTACATCATTCACCTCACTTCATCTCGCTACACAGGCATTGTATCACTTCACATCATCACAGGAAAAGGGTGAGAACCGTACCATATATTTTAAGAGGCCACATTCAAATAACTTTAATGACAGCATGTTGCTATAATTTTCCATTTCATCATTATTATTAATTTCTTACTATGCCTAATTTATCAATTTAACTTTATCATAGATATGTAAGTATAGAAAAAAAAGTGAGTGAGTCAGTACTATTTGTGCTTTCAGTCATTCACTGGGGCCTTTGAATGTATCTCCCACAGTTAAGGGGGAACTACTGCACTTTGTTGTAACACAACACAGTCTCTCTAGCTCTTCAGTTAAAACTATTCGGTTTAGGATAAAACACCTTATCACCAGAAGTCAGCAAAACATAGGAATCAGACCAGAAACAGGGATTCTTGCAAAAACTTTCCAGCTGCCAGTGGAGAAGAGCTCAAGAGATACTAATGTGTTACTCTGGCCAATACTCTTGGGGAAGGTGCTGGGTGTTTTTACTTAGTTGTAGCTATGTGCTCTGCCCTACATATAACAAGGCCCAAATTCACCTGCCATTTTACCTCCCAACCAAAAGAACCACTGGAAAGATTACTGCTTTAAGAGCTTATCCACTCTGAACCACATCACAGAACAATACTCTGTCTCAAAAACAACAGCAACAAAAAAATAAACCCAATTGTTCCCATGTAAAAATAAGTCTAGGTCCACACTAGAGCTGAAGAGTTTACAGTGCCATCAGACAGGACAGAAATATATTTAAAAATTATATTCCTTTCTGTAGAAATAAAACTGTTCAATTTAAGCTTTTGTAAGACAAGAAAAGAGCAAAAAATGCAAAAGTAAAACTTGAAAGGCCATTTCATCATCAAGGGCTCATGATCACGAGACATTCACAAACTATATATATTGTGCAAAACAATGGTTCTGAATTTTGATATGAGTACATTGCAGTTTCATTCAAGGATGTCCAAGAGGTCAAATAAGAGAATGTCATTTGCTATTTTCAGTCTTTTTTTTTTTTTTTTTTCTTTTAGAGAACAGTAAACCTCTTTAGAGAAATGAGTTGTCATAACTTCATAGGCTACAGGCTCATGAGTTATAATTCTAAGGGCATTTGTAAAATATGGTGGTGAATGCTTGCATTCTGAACTTCTCAGCCTTAAACTCTCATATTAAATATTCGCAGATACTTAAATATTCGCAGATACGTAAATATTCGCAGATACAGACTGATTAAACAAAAGCCCATTTTAATCTGATATTATTTTTCTTTTTCTTTTTTTGTTTGAAACAGTCTTTTTCTGTTGCCAGACTGGAATGCAGTGGCACAATTTTGGCTCACTGCAACCTCTGCCTCCCGGATTCAAGTGATTTCTGTGCCTCAGCCTCCCAAATAGGTGGGACTACAGGCACGCGCCATCATGCCCAGCTAATTTTTTATATTTTAATAGAGATGGAGTTTCACCATGTTGGCCAGGATGGTCTTGATCTCCTGACCTCGTGATCTGCCCACCTCAGCCTCCCAAAATGCTGGGATTACAGGTGTCAGCCACCGTGCCCAGCCTATTTTTCTTTTACTTTTTTTTTTTTTTTTTTTCCATTTATCAGCAACAGGAAAGTCTAATTAAATGTGGTAGAGTGATATAAGGGAATACAATAAAAAGTGTAAAATGAATTAAACCAGAGCTAATCACATCAATGTGGATACATCTGGAAAATATACAAAGTACACAAAATAAAGTGACAGAAAGATATGTAAAGTGTAGAACAACTCACATTCCATTTTAGGACACAAAAATTCTGCATATTATTTCTGAGCATCACAACATAGTTAAGGATTTCAAAAGGGTATTGAAATGGAAAACAACCAATGATGTTGGTAGCCTCAATGATGTTCATGATGTTGGTCACCTCTATGAAACTTTTTTTTAAAAGAACTTTTATACCAAAAAGTCTCAAAAACAACCATTTTAAAAGACTGTCTTCCAGTTATGAATGAATAATTACTTTCCTAGTTCTTGATAATCAAAGATGCTACAAACACACCCATATGCACACCCATACGCACACATGCACACACAGTCTGCTCATCAGAACATCTCATTGGCTTCAGATCATCAGTGTAATAACATTAACAGGAAATCTCTAAAGTTAATACAGAAACTGACATCTCAGTAAAGCTTTCCTTTAGGTAAATATCAGAACTCCAACTAGCACATAAGACACGAACTATCTCAGAGTCCCAAAATTCACTGCTTTGAATCCCTGACAAGTATAAAAATTCCATATTGGAAATGTTATGCTATTCAAAATATTAAAATAGAAATATCTGAGTTAAAATTCATATTTTTAAAATCTTGTTTTCTAATACTTCTAAATTTTTATTAAAATATGGATACCAACAATAACATTTATGTCAGTGCCTTCCATGCAATTTAGAATAAAAAGAATTAGGAGTAAGAAGAATGTGAGTACTTCCAATCATTTAATGTACTTATTTCCAGCATTCCAGTTGTATTGAAAATGTACCTGCTCTCGTATGTATACATTCTTTCTTTGTACTGCTTCTCTCACAACAGCATATTCCATTTCAATGGTAGGCTGAATGGGCTTTAAAACGAAATAACTCATCAATCATATATATTTTATACAATATAAAGTTAGTCATTAAAAATAAATATACATAATTACCTTCAAGTAAGGATGTTATTCAGGAGGTGCTACAAAGCAAAGAGGACATGTTATCAATTATGTGTAGGTGTGACAGGGCCAACAAAACATTCATGCAGTGTTAGTGTCAAGCTAAGTCCTCATGCCTGGCTATGAAAATAATTACTTAAGGTTTTGAGAGTTCTTTTTGGCATCTTCTTTTCATTGCCTAGGACAGCAACGTGATGGAAATACACCGAGTAAAATAGGAATATAGGATCCCTAAATCACAAAGTTTATATTTCAAAAGTAAGATTGTTTCTAATGCCTATAACTAAAATAGAATAGTATGGATATTAATGTGAACACATTGGGGTGATAAGGATAAAAGGGACCATTAAACAGTGGAGCAAATCATAACCTGAGAGAATCAACATCAAGGCTGATGGTGAGTGCTACGGAATATTTAAACTCGAAACGTTAGAGGCATTGATGTCAGAAGACCACAAATATTTATATGTGCTTCCCCTCATCCTGTCACTTAGGAAATACACAGTTGGAATGCCAGTTCAGGTGATTGTATGATTCACCTCTCATCAAAGAAAATGTTATGAATTGATCAGCTATGATACACACTTATGAAATAAGTTTCTCAAAATTCTCATTTTCCCATACCCACATTGGCTACTAAACCACCTACATTTCTCATATCCTCTCATTTGACCCTTTCTTAAGAGCTCCTTGATCCAATCATGCAAGATTTAAAACACATCAAATAAACCATATAGAATAAGCTTTCAATAGCAAAGGAAAACATTGACTTGCCACAGTCTTGATGGAAAAGAATAAACTTTTATATTTCAAGGATCAGTGCAGTATTCGTAGAGAATGACAATTTTAGTATTCACAGAATAAATTTTATAATACGACTGCCTCTAAAATTAGCTAAGTTTGGTATGTCATTTTACTCTGTAAACCACTTTTGTAAAATAGCTATCATATCAAAGAACTGGCTGAGCCCCAAAATATTAGCCAAAATGCAACTTAATCACATCTTATTCACTCATGTCAATGAAACTTCTTGCTCTGAGGCCTTACAGTTATGAAAAGAAATTAGCTGCTGTGATTTACCCCAATTCTAGCACTCCCTCCTGCCTCCAGTACTCTCCACAGCAATAACGGCTTTTGCTAGACTGGGCATACGCCCAAGGAACTGAAAGTGAGGTGTCTCAAGTTTCCTTGGTTTTAATTCTAAAGTCCCCCAACAAACATCCTCGCCCTTGCCCTTTCAGTCCCTCTTCCTTTGCAAAAGTAATCTTTAGAACTGTCATCCTGATGCTTCTCTTCCTGCTTTTTTTAGATAATTGCGAGAATTTTTTTTCACCTGTATTCAGCAGTAGTATACACCAGTAATTTCTTTTTTCATCTCATTCTGCTTCCTCTTGGCCAGAATCCTACTTCAGAAATAAAAGGAGATTAATGCTTTCACTTGATAATTTTTTTTTTTTTTTAATTGCTGTCCCATGGTTCTTTTTCCAGATTTCTCTAAAGGAAGGCTATTTCCTTGTTATTCTGAGCTGTGTCCAAGGAACAGCGCCAACACCACCGGAGTACTCCTGAGAAGGGCAGAATCCCACACGTGCTGAATGAGAATGTCCATTTTCCAGAAGCTACTCAACTAATTCATGAAAATTTGGATGCTCTGTTCTACACTAATGTGCTTCCACATTTGTTTACCTTAATTGCCCATCTGGAACTTAGCCTCAATTTCTTCCCTGTTAAGGCAATGAATTTAATTCTGCATTATAAGCCATAATGTTTCTAGTAAACTTTTCATCAGGCTGTACCTCCTCTAACTTTCTCTTCATGAATCACAACACTATTCGATTATGTTAATCTGGCCTATATGATACTATCTGATGAAGTTATAACATTCTCTATAAAACTAAATTATGGCCATACATGGCTGACCATTTATGGTGATAATCATCTATGGCAGATAAAACACAGGTCTGTGTGGTGAGGTACCTCCATCCTTAATGCCTCTCCAATAGTGAGAATGACAGCAAGAGCAGGAAAATTTACTCTCATTCTCTGACACATTTTGGTGCTGGAAGCTGACATTACCTTCTTTCCTATTTCTATCATCCTGCTCTTCCTTTTACAAATAAATTTGGCTTTACTACCCTCCTTTACATACACTTGCATACTGTTTCTTCATTTATTCCATGTACACTCTGCCTTCCTCATTCTTTCTCTTTCATTCATTTCCTCTTCCCTCTTTCCTGACTTGCCTCAGATTTTAGAGTATCTTAAAATGAAAACTAATAATTCAGCTCCTTTAATGGTACTCTCAATAGACCCAACTACTGATACCTGATTAGATATACAACTTACCAAAATTTTACTTCTCCTTATTATACATTTAATAGAACATTTTCTTTAGCTATTTGAATATATTGGTGCTCATATTTTTAAAAAATCCATCAAATTACTTTTTAAATAAAATAGTGTTCTTACCTTCTCCTTTTACATTGACTATACTGTATTTTTTTTTCCCTTGGAAGGTCTAGGTAAAGTCTCTGACACTTTCTTGGGGATATACTGTTGAGGTAATATCAAGCATGAGTTTCCGTTTACAAAATTATAATGAGTTGCATAAAGACTTTATTAATTTTTTCTCTTTTTTTGAAAAAGGGTCTCACCCTGTCGCCCAGGGCTGGAGTGTAGTGGCATGATTATGGCTCACTGCAATCTCAACCTCCCAACCTCAAGTATTCTTCCCACCTCAACTTCCTGAGTAGCTGGAACTACAGGTGCATACCATCATGCTAGGCTACTTTTTTATTGCTATTTTTGTAGAGACAAGGTCTTACTGTATTGTCCAGGCTGGTCTCAAACTCCCCCCCCCTTTTTTTTTTTTTTGAGGCAGAGTCTCACTCTGTCACCAGGTGCCAGGCTGGAATGCAGTGGCATGATCTCAGCTCACTGCAACCTCCACCTCCCTGGTTCAAGCAATTCTCCAGCCTCAGCCTCCTGAGTAGCTGGGACTATAGGCGTATGCTACCACACCCAACTAAGCTTTTTTTGTATTTTAGTAGAGACTGGATTTCACCATGTTGACCAGGATGGTCTCGATCTCTTGACCTCATGATCCACCCGTGTTGGCCTCCCAAAGTGCTGGGATTACAGGTGTGAGCCACCTTGCCCAGCCCACACCCCTGGTCTTAAGTAATCCTTCCACTTCTGCCTCGCAAAGAGTTGAGATAACCAATGTGCACTACCACACCTAGCACTAATCAATTTACTTAAATAAATCAGTTTACCCAAGTTGGTGGCTCCCTCTTATCCCAGCCCTTTGCAAAACCAAGGTAGGTGGATTGCTTGAG